CCCTTTTTTCCCCTGCTTTTCCATCTCCCCCTACCACCCGTTCCTCCCCAAGCCCCTACACCTTTTCTAATGACTTATACCCATATACTTTCCTTCGCAGCACAATCTGTAAACAGTTAGATTCTGGCTAGTGCCACCTTAAAGTTTCCATCTCTTACAGTGACCCTCACTTAACACCCTCCTACCCTGCAGCCAGACTACTGTTTGTACAAATTACAAAACAGGAAAGATACCGGGGTTTCTGAGCGATATGACACCATGGCTTGAAGTTTTGAAAATAGATATTTAAATATCATATATAATACAAAAATACATACAAATTTGAATAAAAGAAAGGGAGAAATGGCAGTTGCAACCAGTTAAAAACAAAATTAAGCCAGAGGCATAGACCCATTAAACATGTTCAGACATAACCATAATAAATCAATATATTCTGTAAGTCCATTCCCTACGCGTTTCACAACTTGGCTTCTTCAGGGGTTTATGACCTACCCACCCAAAATGGAGTGGCTTACTGAGGGTCTAGCTTTCTTATGGAGCCTAGGTGGAGAGATAGTCCTCCAAAAGGGAAATGCTCCATCCAGTTCTTTGTATCCAAAGGAGGGGAGAGAGGGAGGACCTCGGGCCGCTATAGGAGGGAGGAGCCACCAATCCAGGCTGGAGAGAGAAGGCTGCCTGCACCTATCCTGTGGTGTTTCTATATTCCAACGTCCATAGACCTGTCAGTAGTTGGCTGTGAGGTAAAGGGTTGTGGTGAGGGTCTGATCGATTGTGGCAGCCTTAGTGACTCCAATCCATCTGCAGCCAGGCATCTCCAGCTTCCATGGCTCCTCCCTCCTATAGCGGCCCGAGGTCCTCCCTCTCTCCCCTCCTTTGGATACAAAGAACTGGACGGAGCATTTCCCTTTTGGAGGACTATCTCTCCACCTAGGCTCCATAAGAAAGCTAGACCCTCAGTAAGCCACTCCATTTGGGTGGGTAGGTCATAATCCCCTGAAGAAGCCAAGTTGCGAAACGCGTAGGGAATGGACTTACAGAATATATTGATTTATTATGGTTATGTCTGAACATGTTTAATGGGTCTATGCCTCTGGCTTAATTTTGTTGTTAACTGGTTGCAACTGCCATTGTTCCCTTTCTTTTATTCAAATTTGTATGTATTTTTGTATTATATATGATATTTAAATAAAAATCTATTTTCAAAACTTCAAGCCATGGTGTCATATCGCTCAGAAACCCCGGTATCTTTCCTGTTTTGTAATTAATATATTTTAGGGGGAGAGATTACACCTGGGGGGCCATGGGCCTGGCTACCCACAACTGTCTTGTACTGTTTGTACAAACTACTAATTGGCTACCAGCTGGCAACTAAGTTGAGTCAGGTCCAGAGACATGTTGATTTTCCAACACATTGTAAACTATGCGTACATGCTGTGACTTTACTGGCTTGACTGTAACCCTATTAAATGAAACAAAAATATGGGAGGAGGGGCATTACTGAGCCTAAAGCAAATCTTTCAATATCGTCACAATATGATTAACCAGCTGTTTCAAATGATAGCCTCCTTTCCCCAAAATGTGTAGTTTAAAACAGACATAACAAAGATGTTATCAAATGCCTGGGTCACTCTTCTTTATACTGAACAAGATGGGTGCCCATTGGAGTTTTTGTTTACTAAATCATATACCAGTAAGTTTTTCATAGGCTAGATAAGTTCATAATTGGGAGAGGTTTCTGTAACCATTGACACAGAAGAGAGTTGCTTTATTATCACACTCTACTCCCCCCCCCACCCCATGTACAAACATGGTATCAAGCAGATTTTTCTTTTAACAGACTATCAGTACCTCCTTTCAATAACTCTCCAGAGCTGACGCCAAAAGTCTAGATTGCGTTCAAAAGGTGTAAGAATTAGCTTCTTTTCTTCTTCAAGCCTGTTGAAAAATGATGATTGACTTTAGGAAAATTTAAAAACAGTACTCTTTAGTCCACTCTTGTATCCATTAAAATCAATAAATGCTATTTTAAATGCTTATTTTTAAATGCTATTAGTATAATAGTTAGTAACCTGTTTCTCACAGCAGAAATTAGTCTGGAACGGTGGAAAGTGATATATGTGAATCTGTTTCATAGCATACTGTAAATAGTAACCCAACATGATTTCAGGAAAAGTAGCTGCTTAGCAAGAAATGAGCACAGTGGAGTCACTGACAGTTTGATGATGCTGTTTTCACAGTCCAATGACCGAGTAGGTGACAAAAGGAAGTTGCATTAGTATATGCTCCTGGCTATACAGGGGTGAAGGAATCAGAAAGTTGTATTTGTAAATACAGGCAGGTCAAACCTTTTACAGATGTCTTCATAGTTTAACTGAGATCCCATTTCAAAAGGATTACTACAACCAAATATATGTCCCATTTTATAAGTACATACGTAGCGAGCTGGCGCCTCCACTTCAAGAAGCTCTCCCGTTCTGCTTGCTGCAGATCTTCCGCACTTGTATTTTCATCCCAGTGTGGCCTTAAGTTGTAGAATACAAACAGAAACCAATCATGTCATTCCCAATACTCACATTTTCAGCTATAAATGGTTCCAGAGCCCAACTACATGTGGACATAGTAGGCCCTAACAGAACTTCACAGCTAAAGTGAGATGCTTGTGTCTGTAGCATTAACAAATACAAACGATTTACAGCAAGCACAGACATACCTCCTTGGAATGCACAGAAACTGTTTATTCTCTTCGTGGAGTTTCTGAATTCTGTTTGACTCCTCAGATGTTAGCAGACCAGTTCTGTGTTCAGCTGGGACAAATGTAATATTCAGTTTCTCTACAAAGGAAGGCAAGGATTAGTTCCATTAAAGAAATGCATGACAGCGGCAATAAGTAATTTTTAATTTTCTCTGTACACAAAATACCAGAAACAGTCAGATATGCAAGCAATCTTCAGCCCTAAACTAACATTTTCAGGGGCCCAATGTGAGTTTATATTTAAGATATAAGAGGCAGGGAAATAAAACTCAGTACACGATCCACATATATTCTAGGTGCTGGGGAACAACACAAAATCGCTCAGTTTTCTAACCTCATATCATCTTCCCTGGGATTTGTCCACAGCTGCCCACAGACATGAGCCTGTTGCAGCCAGATTAGCAGGCTATGGGATGCTTAACTCTGCATTAGAATAGAGACTCTGCTTGACTCCCTTTGGGGGAAAGTTTTCTAATGTGTTGTCTTGAGTCTAAGAGAGCTTTTCCCTAACTTTAGATAGTTACTTCAACCCCACTGTTTTAATACTTTGAGTTATTGACCAGGAACAAGAATGTAACATGTAAAGTCAGAACTCCTGATTTCAATGTTTGTTCTAGGCCAGTGACTTAAATTATTGAGGTTATTGAATCAGCATGATAGCTTTGTAACTAGCATTTTCAGATCGATCAAAAATGGCAGCATCCATATTTCCTCTGTACAGGTTTACTTTACAGGGCACCTTCCCTGTCTTGCATTGCTTTTGATCCTTTACCTACTGCCTCCATCTCTTGTTTCCTCTCTTCTCTCTTTGCACCTTATTCTCCACTCCTTCAGCTCCCCTGTGGATGGATTCACTAAGTTGTAACTTTGTTTGTTAGGTCCTGCACCTTATGGACAAAGAGTGACATCACTCGGGAAGCGCTCTCCCCTTGTGATGGATATGGGATTATCTGCCCTTCTTCTGCCATTTGGGCAAGGCAAATGAGGCATAGACCCCAATGCCCCATTTACTGGTTTGTCACCTCTTGCCCCTCCATCCCTTAAAGCCCATAGGTATCGCTATTGACACTCACATGAGACCTACTTCTAACTTTTATTTTGGGTTTTCACTGGGATATGTTCCCCTCCCCTTTTTTGTTTATTGGCACTGTTTTGAAAGATGCAAGCTGTCTTAGACCCCATTCACACCTAGCGACATACCTTTTGCAGCGGATCCGCACGGCCGGGATAGCGCGACTTTCGGGGCGACGTTCCAGCGACGGTAGCGCGACCTTCCCCGTCGGGCTCCATAGGAAAAAAACAAAATCGCGCAAAATCCGCCGAAAAAAAGGGTCCGGTAGAAGCGACTTGCGACCGCGACGAGCGACATGGAGTTAAGACAGCTCCATTGAATAACTTCTCGCGATATCGCGCGGCAAAAATGCGCGATATCGCGGCGGAAATCGCGCGACAATTCGCTATATGTGAACGGGGCCTTAGGTTTATTGCGATTTCTATTATATGTAACCGAAACTTCAAATACAAATATTTGAATGAAAAACTACCTGGAAGGGTTCTGTACAATGTTGATGTACAAAATGCCCTCTGAAGTCACATTTTCTGTTGGAGTAATTGGCTTACCGCTTTTTAAAATTACAAATCAAATGTCAGGCATTCCCTGCAATAAGAGTTTTACTTTTGATTAGATATAAACACAAGTTTTTCTCTCTGAGGAGATTTGGGTGGTTATATTGAAGGCCTACCCTCCCGCTCAGATGTTAGTTACAGAGTAAACAAGCATCAATTTCTAAACAATGTATATTTCTGCAAACCCTGTGATATATATGTAGATCCTTAAAATGTATGCAGTTTATATAGAGAGAATTGTTTTTCTTCAACAAAAGTTACACGGTAAAGCCCAACTTTGGCCTCTGGCTGCAATACCCTTTAATCTGGTGTTGTACACCACATAACCTTTTGTTCGCCAAAAGAGGTTTCAAGTCCTCTGGGTTGAAGGAAGCTCACCGTCACCTAATCCGAAGACTAAGGAAAACCTGAATGCAGGGTGTCCTGGCCACACTCCCTGCATACAGCACCCTGAACTAACAGTGTATTGACACAGAGAGCGGTGCCGATTTCATCATTTCAATATCGCTCGCTGTATCATCTAGACTGCCTACCTGCAGGTACACCGAAAAGGAAGAGGACGCGATCATCATGTGGAGATTTAAAAAAAAAAAAAAAAAAACATTAGATACCGCTAGGGAGGCTTAAGGGTGGAGGGGGGCAAGGAGACCACAGTTGTCCTTTTAAGCAAAAGCACACTTAGACATAACAACAGGGATGTGGAAATTAGGAAAAAAAAAAAAAACCACTAACAACTTGTCCAAGGACTAAAGTGGGGGCCCTATCAACTTGTCCCTCATGACAATCTACAAAGAAGCGCTTCTCATTGGTCAGCGCGGTCAGGTGACCACATTGATCAAGGAGTGCTCACAATTTGCAAGCGAAATTAAAAATTCATAGGACAAGGCTGCGCTGGATAGAAGTATGGGGTGCGGATTGTACAACCATACTGCTGGAGGGGCAGGACTTTTCGCTGAAAGGCAAGTATAGTATATTTTTTTCCACTTAATTAAGAAGCCCATATATGATAGCGTTTGGAGTTGACAGGTTCTCTTTATGGAGCCTGCCCTCCAATACAGAAGCACAAAACACAGCATTGTTCTTAATCTCCTGTGCAGCCCAGCTTGCGACAGCTGAGACAGGAGGTGCTGCGAGTACAGCGCTCCCATCTCACTGATCACATAATTTGCCGTGGTCCTGGATCCCCCAGGACAGGGATGGCCAAACTCCGGCCCTCCAGCTGTGGTGAAACTACAAATCCCATTAAGCATCTCTCTCCGGGAGTCATGTCTGGCTGTGAGAATCTTGCAAAGCCTCATGGGATTCGTAGTTCCACCACAGCTGGAGGGCCGCAGTTTGGCCACCCCTGTCCCAGGAGAACGGCTGTCCTCCAGAAGAAGCTGTATAGTCGACCAGATCCCTTGTGCAAAACAAGCGGCGGCTTCCGTGCTCTACATTTAGCCCTGCTTGCCAGCAGCAGGGCTAAATGTAGAGGGAAAAAAACCAAATCACACCATGAAACTACCCTCCATCTCAAGTATACGCCATAACAAAACGCAAGACCAAATGATCCCCAGTTTCTGAATCCCAACAGCAACTCTGTGGCAAAAAAAACAAAACAAAAAACTGCAGTCAGCTACAAATTTGATTTTGTTTTAGTGACACAGTAACTTCATGTCCCATCTTTATTACCTTTCACTCGCATAGGTCTAGTCACTGTGCTTTACAAATACATTAGTGTACATTAATGGAAAGATGTTAGAACTGTTTTGCTCACCTGCAACAAATTCTGTTCCTGCCAACTCCGCCGTGGCAAGAAAGTCATCAAGACAGCTTTGTTCTGTCACTGACTGGAGATTAAGCCTGCCCCAGTCATAGCCATCATTCAACTCACTTGTGTGCAGCTGCAAAAGGACACAATGTGGGTTAGAAAGACCGGTAAAACCGGCCTGTAAATGCATTTTATCACAGAAAGTATAAGCAAAGAAATGCCACTGCATTATTATCAAAACCATTCTTTGCTTTCTAAACACAAGTATCTAGTTATCTAGATACAGAGTTTAATATCTCTGATAAAGCTAAATAAAACTTGAAAACACAAAATCCCTGAAATTCTAATGTTTTCTACCTATCTTGTGTTTTGGATTAACCATCTCCGTACTACTGCATTGTAAAAAATAACCTCCACCGTGCCTGTGAATGGCTGTGATCTGACATGTCATTGGACAGCACAAGCACAATGTACTAAGCCAACTAGAGTGGCTCTGTACCTTGTGCTTGCTGTGAACCAATAGTTTTTACAAACATTTAGCACAGTCACAACCTTTAAAAATGTAACAAAATGAAAGATAAATGTAAGCAAACCCAAATGTATTTATTTTTTCCCTTTATAAAGTAAAAAATAAAAAAGCCAGTGGTTATTAAATGCCACAAAAAGAAAGCTCTAGCTGTATAAAAAATGATCTCAAATTAATTTGGGTTCAGTGTTGCATGACGGAGTAATTGTTAGTCATCACAGCACTGAAAACTAGCCTGATAATAAAGGGGTATATACAAGCTGGTACTCAAGTCCACCACGTAACTAATGCATAGCTAGAGAATTATGAGTGATGGTCTTTTTTGAAGCATTGCTTGCTTTTATCAGGCTGTTTCTGAGCACTGAGTAAAGGATTACACACATATCTGCAGTCAGAGTCATCAAAAAGGGTGAAGTTCTAACTAGGGATGCATCAACATTTCGGCCACCAAAATATTTTGACTGAAAATGGTACTTTGGGCAAAATGCTCATAGTACCATACTGGCCGAAATTTCAGCGCATCTCTAGCTTCTCTCCTACCTGCTGGGCGATGGTCTGTGTCCCCTTCGATCCCTGCTGCTCTTCCCCGCCTCTGCCAGCAGAGGCATCATGGATAAGAGGGGACATAGATGATACAGCTGCCGGCAATCCGCGAGGAGGAGAGAAGCTTTCAGGATGCCGAGCGGGGTGCCCCACTCATCCTCCTGTGACAGGTAGAGCAGTCAGGATGGAGAGCAGGTTACAAGCACTCAGGACTGATCACTGACTGTTTGTAAATAACTGAGGACATAGTATGCTTACTGTGTCCCCAGTTATGAATGAACAGGAAGTGCTCTTCATCATTACCTGTTCATTTATGATTGTGGACAAAAAGGAGGAGGAAGAGGAGAATGTTTAAGAAAAAAAAAAAGAATGAAAGAAAGAAATCTTCGGTTTTGGCCTGACAATTTTTATTTTCGGTTTAAAAATGTCATTTTGGTGCATCTCTAGTTCTAACTTATTGGAAAGACACTCTGTAGCTGTAACAAAAAAAATACACCTACAGGACATTATATTCCAACTTGATTCCATTTGACTATACACAACTTTTTATGGCATCCCCAATTGACTGGTGAATTAACAGTACATGTATTTAAAATGCAGCTTGTAACTGGTAATACAAAAGAAGGGTATTCAGGGAAAAACTAAAATACTGTTCCTGCACAAGATGGCCAGATGGTACAATAAAAGGTTCAAAGAAGATGAGGCAGCCTGGATATGGAGGGTGCCATGTTGTATCAGTCCCCTGCCAGAAGGAGATAACCCCATATAGAAATTGTTGAACCAGACAAAGAGGGAGACTACATATAAAGGGGTGCCATGTTGTATCAGCTCTCTTCTCGTGTCAGGCACACAAATGATGAGATATCCTAGGTATTAAGGGGCGCGTCATGTTGTAGCAGCCCCTTCTTGGGTCAGACACACAATGGATGAGGCAGCTTAGATATAAAGGGGTGCCCAGGGCCGGTGCAAGGATTTTTGCCTACACAGGCGATGGTGAAGTTTTCTGCCCCCCCGCCACAATGTCATCCCAACATCCCCATACATTTTATTTGTGCTCTATGAAGCTATAATGGCTCTCGCTGTGGTGTATGCGGCAATACCGAACATGTATAGCGCAATAAAAATTTTCGGATGTAGGCTCACAAGCTGCCTGCTTTGCCTAGCAACGCCTGCCCTGGTGACATAGAACAAGCAGGGAATCACCACCACTCAATAATGAAAGCAAAATATGTCCTTTTTATTGGACCAAAGCGTCATAGAAATCCAAAAAGAACCGACATTTCCAGGCCGCGCAGGGTCCCTTCCTGCCTTGAGGAAGGAACCCTGCGCGGCCCGGAAATGTCGGTTCTTTTTCGATTTCTATGACGCTTTGGTCCAATAAAAAGGACATATTTTGCTTTCATTATCGAGTCCTGGTGATTCCCTGCTTGTTCTGTGTCTGCACGGCGCCATCCGTGAACCAATATCACTGCGAGCACCATCTTCTCTTACTTGGCCGGGACTGCTGTGAGGTGTGCGGAGGGCTCCCCCAACGACCTGCCCTGGTGACATAACACAATTCTATGTAGCATTATACAGAAGAAGTACAGAGTACTGTAACAGTACAGAGAACCGCAGAATATGTTGGAGCAGGACCATACACTAACGCCAACTGCTCTCCCGAGTCACCAACTGCACTCCCGAGTCGCTGATTAGTGCAGTTTCCATACAGCTTTCAATTGAACCACGCTAATTAGTGTGAATGGGGCCTAATACTAACGGGACTTGGGACCAATGTGGGGAGAAAGAGTTAAAAAAAAAAAAAACACACACACTGCAGCTCAGGACCTGGAGACAAAGGGGGTAGGAGAGTTAAAAAAAGAAAAAAAAACACATGCTGCAGCTCAGGAACGGGAGACAGAGTGGCGAGAGAGACAACAAACTCACCTACTGAGTCCACAGAGGAAACATTTCATGGCTGTCAGACGGCCACACTGGCTCCAAAGTCGCACTCAGTGGCACAGGCACAGCAGAGGGAACCTAGGGGCAGGGTCCAGCTCACAGGTGTCGAAGCTCGGGGGCCCCATAACGCAGCGGTGGCCACTGATCACTAGGATTTTTCCGCCCTCATCCCTTCAGCGCCCTCAGGCAGCCGCTTGAGCTGCCTTACGGTAGCGCCGGGCCTGAGGGTGCCATGTTGTATCAGCCCCCTTCTCCTGTCAGGCACACAAACAATGAGAAGACTGCATATAAAGGGGTGCAAGGGTGTATCAGCCCCTTCTATCAGGCACACAGAGAATATGGGAGACTACATATAAAGGGATGCCATGTTGTATCAGCCCCCTTCTTCTGTCAGGCACACAAAGAATGAGGGGAGACTACATATAAAGGGGTGTCATGTTGTATCAGCCCCTTCTTAGGTCAGACACACAATGGATGAGGCAGCTTAGATATAAAGGGATGCCATGGTGTATCAGCCCCCTTCTCCTGTCAGGCACAAGAAGAATTAGGAGACTACATATAAAAAGGGATGCCATGTTGTTTCACCCCCGCCCCCCCCCTTCTCCTTTCAGGCACACAAAGAATGAGGGGCCTACATATAAAAGGGTGTCATGTCGTATCAGCCCCCTTATCCTGTCAAGCACACAAAGAATGAGGGGCCTACATATAAAGGGATGCCATGTTGTATCAGACCCTGTCAGCCACACGTGTCAGAGGAAGACACTCACCCAGGAGTCTTTCACTCGTTGCCCTTTCTGGCTCTGTGCTCGGTCTCGAATCAGGGCTCTTCCTAAACCACATGCTGCTTTCTTCTTCCCCATCGCTGTCACACAGGATTTACCAAGGGAAACACGTGCCCGGATCCAAATCAGAAACACACAGGAAGCCACGCGGGTGTAACAGAAAAATCGCTCCCAGTGTTTTGTAATGTGTGCTCCGAGTTCCTCACGCTTCGAGGATGCCTAGATTCATCCAATCAGGGGAGGGCGGGGGTGGAGCTAGGTTCTGCTGATGTGTGGTGACTGTGTGTGCAGTGTTCTCCCATAGGGTTAACAACATTACTATAGGGAACCTGTACAGTCATTTCTAAACTTTCCTTGAAAGTGACATTTCCCTGGCTGCCAGTCAGTCACTAGTCTCTGATCTAGAACAAGTATTCAGCCCATAAATTCGGCCTTTGCCTGCTGCATATTTGTTGGTCAGTGAATCAAAGGGTATTAGGGCCCGTTCACACCAAGCCTATGTGTTAATTGCACACTTCTATGTGATTAATGCACGGTACCCCACAACGCACCTACAGTGCGTTAACAGTGCATTTGAATATCATCCCAAGCCCACCTTTTGGGCACAATGCGTTTGAACGCTGTGCATCGTGCGATACCGCAATAATATGTGTTTAAAGGGCCTGTTTACACCGCAGTGCACAATAACATATGCACATGATGACGTGTTTGCATATACATGCATGTAGGGGAGGCGAAATGTGTTTTTTTTTTAGGAATACACAGATATCAAGTACTGTACTTGGTACAAGTACTGATACTTTTTCAGCTCCAAGAGCAGACTAGAGAACAACTCGAAAGTTAGGAGGCAACTCTCATTGGCTACGGGGCTCCTGGGATTTGTAAATCCCTGCTTTAATGTATGACAGGTGAAACTCGAATAATTAGAATATCGTGCAAAGTTCATTTATTTCACTAATGCAACTTAAAAGGTGAAACTAATATATGAGATAGACTCATTACATGCAAAGCAAGATAATTCAAGCCGTGATTTGTCATAATTGTGATGATTATGGCTTACAGCTCATGAAAAACCCAAGGACCCCAAATCCACAACCTCAAAAAAGTAGATTATTACATGCAATCAATAAAACAAGGATTGTACATAGAACAATATCGGACCTCTGAAAAGTACAAGCATGCATATGTACTCAGTACTTGGTTTGGGCCCCTTTTGCAGCACTTACTGCAATTACTTTTGCACGATATTCTAATTATTCGAGTTTCACCTGTGTGCCTGGGTAGTCATATATGACTATATATCTATAGTTATGGCCAGAAATTTTGGGACCCCTGCATTTCTGTCAGATAATGCACCACTTCAAGCAGAAAATTGTTGCAACTACAAATGTTTAGGCATTATCATGTTTATTTCTTTTGTTTGTATTGGTATGACACAAAAAAAGTAGAGAAAAAAAAAGCCAAACCTGACACATTCCACGCAAAACTCCAAAAATGGACTGGACACATTTATTGGCACCTTCTCCAAATTGCAAGAAATAATTGCATTCCAAGTTTGTAATGCTCCTGTAATTTGTAGTTTAACTCACCTGTATCAATTAACAGGTGCTGAAAATATAGAAATCACACCGGCAACCAGTTAAAATGGTGAAAAATGGACTCAACCTTTCTGTTGTGTGTCTCAGTGTGCCACATGGAGCATGGAGAAGAGAAAGAGCAGCAAAGAATTGTCTGAGGATTTGAGAACAAAAATTGTGAAAAAGCACGGACAATCTCAAGGTTACAAGTCCATCTCCAGAGATCTTAACATTCTTATGTCCACTGTGCACAGCATTGTCAAGAGGTTTACACCGCATGGCACTGTAGCTAATATCCGTGGACGAAAGAGAACAATTGATCAAAGATTGCAATGAAGGATTGTTCAAATGGTGGATAAAGACCCTCCATCAACTTCCAAACAAATTCAAGCCGACCTTCAGGCACAGGGTACAACTGTGTCAGCCTGCACAATACGCAGCCATCTGAATGAAAAGGGACGCTTTGGTAGGAGACCCAGGAGGACCCCACTACTGACACAGAAACATAAAAAAGCCAGATTGGAGTTTGCCAAAACTTACCCGAGGAAGCCAAAATCCTTTTGGGAGAATGTGCTGTGGACAGATGAAACAAAATGACAGATTTTTGGTAAAGCCCATCATTCTACTGTTTTCAGAAAAAGAAATGAGGTCTTTAAAGAAAAAAAATACAGCCCCCACAGTCAAACATGGTGGAGGTTCACTGATGTTTTGGGGTTGCTTTGCTACTTCAGGCACTGGATGTCTTGACTGTGTGCATGGCATTATGAAATCTGAAGACTACCAAAGAATTCTGGGGTGCAATGTAGGGCCCAGTGTCAGAAAGTTGGGTCTCTGTCAGAGGTCATGGGTCTCATACATAGGGTTGTTCGGACAGTTCGGGTTTTGAATGCTCTGTTCGGGTTTCATGGCAGCAGAAACCCGGACACAAGATGTCAAGCAGACAGGGGCCAACCAAAATTAAGATAGGGGCTACTGGCCCCACACTGAAAATAGTCTCACCTGTAATATTTGCATATGAATGGGTGGCGCTATTTAGATATGAATAAGCCGCGACTAATTTTCCCCAAAAATTGTCAGCGCGTCTCTAGAGTGTTCGGGTTTCGCTTGAAGAAAAGGTGGCAGCCCTACTCATACAGCAGGACAATGACCCAAAGCACGCATCAAAAAGCAACCAGAAATGGTTTTAGACAAAGTGCTGGAGAGTACTGGACTGGCCAGCAAATTCACCAGGGAAAGTGGAATGACCTTTTAATGCTGGCAACCTAATACCAATACCACCAGTCATTTCTCCGTCCTCACATCTATACTCTGTTTATAGAACATGATGATTTACAGAACATTAGACCGCTGCAGCAGAGGGGGAGAGAGGCGCCAGGACTGGCCTAAGAACAAGCCGGTTCCGAGTATCAGGTGAGTATAACTTGCTTTTTTTAGCACCCAGACAAAAATGAGCACTTAACTCTTGAAGTGCAGGGGTGGCCCCACTGCAAGAGGTAAGAAATATTCTGCCCAGGATTCTGCTTTAAAATGGAGCTGAATTTAAAAAGTGAGGATTTGCTATGATAAAGGGAACATCTTGAAATGATAATTGTGCAAAAAAATACCCTGAAATATTTGCCTTTTGTCTCTCATTCCTCCTGAAAAATAGCAGTGCACTTCCTGGCATGTGAGTGTGCCTGGGCAGTCCTACTAGTCTCAGGGGATCTGGAGTGAGATTTGGTGATGTCCCTACTATGCAGCTCATTGTTCTCCTTGCTGGAGGCTCCGTCATGAAGAAGTAAACCTCTACCAAGACAGACACAGTGGGGAACAAGGCCTGATAACTCATGGGGATCAGCTGCAGGAGACCACAGACAATACTGGTGGCGGCTTCTCTGCCCATGTCTGCCCTATGTGAGTGCACCTTATATGGGTTTAATAGTAAAGGTGGTCTTGGGTAATGCATGAGATCTCTGTACTTTCTTTTTCATTTCATTCCTTTTCCCTCTGCTTTTATTTTTGGGACACCGCTTCCAGCTATTTTTGGGATACAGCTTCCATAGTTCAGTTCCTCTTTAGGTAGTAAGGGTTCATTTTAAGAGGTGGTATATGTGTTAAAGAAGCACTGCAACGGTTAAATGCTTACAGGTTAAAAAAAGTTATACTCACCCGATGCTCTGAACCAGCTTGTTCTTAGACCAGTCTAAGCGTCTCTTTCCCTCCTCTGCAGCAGTCTACGGTCCAGTAAATCATCACATTATATACACAGTGTGTAGATGTGAGGACACTTTCCAATGCTGCAGTGGAGGAGACAGGCTGGAGTCCAGATCTAAATCGCATAGAGCACCTGTGGAGAGATCTCAAAACAGCAGTTGGGAAAAGGAACCCTTCCAATCTGAGAGACCTGGAGCAGTTGGTGAAATTAGAGTGGTCCAAAATTCATGTAGAGAGGTGTAAGAAACCCATTGATTTCAGTTATTTTGTCCAAGGGCTGTGCTACCAAATATTAATTGAGGGTGCCCATAATTTTGTCCAGTCCATTTTATGAATTTTGCGTGGAATGTCAGGTTTGGCTTTTTTGTTCTCAACTTTTTTGTGTCATGCCAATACAAACAAAAGAAATAAACACGAGGATGCCGAAACGTTTGTAATTGCAACAATTTTCTGCGTGAAGTGGTGCATTATCTGACAGAAATGCAGAGGTGCCAATATTTTTGGCCATGACTGATATATATATATTTAGGGATGCACCAATACCATTTTTTTCAGACTAAGTACAAGTACTTGTTGAAGAACTCACAGATACAATTACCGATACTTTTTTTTTTTTTTTTTTTTATTGTCATGTGACAGTTTTTCTAAAACAATACAGACTAATGATTTCAGGACAGGGGTGGAGCTCCAGAGCCAGGTCCCAGCTGCAACCGCTGTGACCCTGGTAGTTCTCGTGAAAATGCCAAGTATCTGCACCGATAGTATCTACAGATACTGGTATCTGAACATCCCTAGTTTTTAATGTGACTATTTTTTAGGGGTCTACCAGACCCCTAATGTCACCTAGGGACCCCAAAGACACTGATAAAGCAGCAATCTGCTTCTCCTGCTGCAGTAACCAGAGAAATGACACACTGAAAGCAGAAGTGATGTAATACATAATGCTTCTGGGTACAGAGATCTGAGGGGAGATTAGCTACTGGAAGTGTGCTGATTTCCCTCCTAAGTGTAGAGACCTGCCATGCCAGTCCCGGGCCCGCACAGGGGACAGTGGAGTCTGGGATAGCCAGCAGTGGAGGGTGCACACTCCACAACACCATACAAACAATCGAGCGGCTCTATAGCTACCCAAACACTTGTATGTAAACAGCCATCGCCGGGTGTAAGAGCAAGAGTGGGAAAAGCTGTTCAAAAACATTCACCCGCATTTCAAGTGGTTAAAATCTGAGCATTGCACTCTCCTTCAACCCTATGAAGAACTCATACTCCAGAATCCATTTGGAGTATGTGTCTCTAGGATTGATTGGAGAGTGCATGTGGGTGCAGAGAAGATTTTGACAAGAGGAGACAGAACCCGCCAGGCAGGTGTAACCGTGCTAACCGTGTTGATTTACACTGCAGTGTTGCATTAAAGTTAATGTGGTAC